GCAAGAAGTGTTGTTCTCAGTTTTGTCAGCAGTGGGCATTTCAATAGGAAATTTTAAGTTGTCTGGTTTAAATTGCCACATAAACATTTTGGATTTGCAACCCATTCAAAATTGTATGCATGAATTTGAGCTTGCAAAGGAAGTCCAGACATGAGTCAGTTAAAAGGAATTTCTAGGTAATGAGGCATGGCATTTTTTAGTTTTGACGTTAATAGGATAGAAGCAAGCTTCCATCTCCTCTTACTATTCTTTTAAATTTTGAAATTGGCTGACCAATTCTATGATCTGGTAGAAGGTTATTTCGAAATTGTTGATTTCTTAGCCAAAGTGCTTGTTTGGAGGGGAATCCCTGTGACTCCTTAATGAATGCACTTGTATGTATATTCTGTTTAGAAGTATGATTTACAAAAATAAATAAAAAATTGAGTTGATATAAACCATGTATGTACTTTCAAGTATGTTTTATGTCTTCTGATGCCCTAGGTTACATTGTGAGGAAGAAAAACTGAATCGGAAAAATATTCCATTTGTCGTCGAAATCATTGTGCTTCATTACTTCATGAGTTTTCATATCCATCCGCTGAAAGGTAGACCAAGTTTAGTCTCTATACAGTCTGGCAAATAAGAGGTCGCCAAACGCCAAAAACAGGGACTGAAAAAAATTTGGCGAAAGAAGTTATGATCTACCTCGACAATTTTGGCGATGGCTGTAATCTCACTTCAAGAGTTTGATCCCTCATATTTGCTTGCCCTTCTCACAAAAAATCATCGCAAAACAATACCAGTATCTATCAAAATATTGACGAAAGCAATACGAATTCAAAATTTACTTTTTTTACACACGAAACAAAATCGTTATGGAACCGCTGCTTTGATTGGCCGAAAAACTAAGAATGACGCACCAATCAGAACCGTCTATGCATCTTTGCTGTATGCCTCATATTTACGAACAGAATTATTATCAGTAGATTGTTATCGGAAGAAGGGTAGGGTTTTCCATCTTTTTGTTTGTTTCTGTGCGTCACTATCATATTTTCTTAATAATTATTAATGAACATATACTATTGATCGCATATAATTCAGTATTTATTAATCTATAAATTATATTGACAACCAAATATCTTTCAACCTATTTTTAGTAGTTTAATCTACTGTTCGCAATTCATGTGCAGGTTTTTTCGTGGCAAGTTTCAAAATGTCGCGTGACACTTGTCTTCTAAAAGGAAAATAAATAAGTATATTATCTATAAAGCCAAGTCGAGATTAATGCCCCTTTATTCTTCCACAATATACTAAGTTAAGACCAGGCCCGTAGCCAGGGGGGTCACTTTTGACAACTAGTGATTAAATGCATGAGTACAGATGATACAGATAGTGTTGAATTACATGAATAAAGTGATACAGATAGTGATTAAATGCATTAATACAGATGATACAGATAGTGTTGAATTACATGAATAAACATCCTCCTAAGCAGGTATCCAGAATCCGTACCTCTTTCTTCCCCCTGCTATAACCAATTTGGAAGCGCCCGATTAAACGGAATCACGTGATCTTATTATGCGCAATGACTTATACATGATTTCTGTCGCAGTGTTGCGACAGCCAATCATATTGCGAGTTCTTAATCGGGGAAATGCTAACTGCTTATCGCAGGGGGTAAAAAGAAAGAATATATTCTGGATTTTGAAGCCCTGTGATCGGAGGATGATGAATAAAGTGATACAGATAGTGCTTAAATGCATGAATACAGATGATACAGATAGTGTTGAATTACATGAATAAAGTGATACACATAGTGATTAAATACACGAATACAGTGATACATATAGTTTATACTAACCCCCTCCAAAAATTCACATTGATATGACAAAATTTGTTTTGGCTAGACAAAAAATATTTTGGCCAGAGTGTTTTGAATGTCTCTGGACAAATTTGGCTATGGTGAAAAAATCCTTATTTGCCAGACTGCTATAAAAACTTACAATTCTGTTCCAAAATCCAGCTCTGCTGGCTTCTATACTATTCTATGCTGGTACTTATTTGCCATAATTTTCAGTAAAATGAAAAAGTTACATTGCCATATGTGAAAAGCATAGGTCGGAATTTTTTTTGAAATTTGGAATGAAAATATTTGACAATGTGCTGTGTTACTTTTTATAGCATTTAATTGTACCTTAATACTTAATCGAATTGTTATAATGCTTATTTTTGGGAAGTGAAGTTTTTTAAAATTGATAATTGTGTGCATGAAATTTCCTGTTTTTCCCACAGGAGGGACAAATAGTGTTGGTATATATTAATTGATTAGTCGTTTAATTGGCATATTTTCTTGAATTTTAACATTTAATGTCCCAAACTCCCACAAACTGCAGAAAAGTATACACCATAAATCATATTTACCAAAATGAGTGTCTCCAAGGCTTCACAACAGCGTATGCATAATGCATTTGTCACGAGTTTGAGCTGAAATTTTGTCAAAATGAAGTAGGCTAAGGGTAGTCTGCCAGGTTTGTTTATTGTGGTAATCTTGTAAGTGCTCAGAAGCAAATAATCATGTGCGCAAAATAATCAAATAATCTGATTGGTTTAAACTTTGCTGCACATGCGCACAATGTGTGCCATGTTTTTTTCTAGTGATTTTGTTTCGTTTCATGGAGTTTGTGTTTCAGTGTAACTTTCGCAAGAATGGCAGACCATGAACAGAATTAACAGGTAAAATCACTTCGAAATTTCAAGAGAACTTTTTACCTATAATAGCAAAATTTTTGTTTTATTTCTGCATTCTATCTATCAGATAAGAGTCTCAGGGGTACATAGGCAAATTCATTTTGGTAGGAGCACTCTGTTTAGTTTGAAAATGCACCCTTTATTATTATATATCAGCACTATAATGATCAATAGACTGAATTCTCAGGAAATTCAGTCTATTGGATATAGACTAAGATATAATGGCAAAACTACTAAACAAACTAAAATATACAAAACTTATTAATTTGTATTAATGTTTCTATTTTTACATATACTGTTTCAATATGGTCCTTTGATTGCTTATTTTTAAGATTCAAAGTAGTTCCAAACATTTAAAATTTTACTGTAGGGGTAGGGCGATTAGGTAAAATGTTGACACCATTTCGTTTCAATCTGGGGTAGGTGCATTCATGCACCCTCTGAGTCTCTGAGGATCGTGTTGGCCCCAGGGGTGCATAACATGCAATGTAAATTTATCAAATTTAAGAAATGCTGAAAAGTCCGGATCTGATGTTTTTGACTTTTCTCCAAAAATCTTACCTCAATCTTGAAAATTCTTTCACCACTGGATAGCGGGACCAAAAATCTTCAAAATGAACCCATAAATGCCTCGCTTTATTACAGTAATTATGTGTAATCGTTGCAGATAAGACGAAATTGCATTTCTGACCAGTCTTCTTGACATTTTCGCTGACCTAATTTCAAGTGCGAATGCGTTGCATAAATCAGTGAGATGATCACGTGACGTAATTTGATGATCATGTGACGTAATGTTTTGCAATAACCAGTTGGTAAAACTGCTAGAGTGGATTCTTGATTCAATATGTTTGTTATCACTTGTAACTGTTCTGGCTTCATATCAAATCCAAACTTTGGTTTTATGTTATGCGAACAGAGATCATTGATTTCTTCCATCGAATACATGATTGTGGAATGAATGATATAAACTCTGTATAGTTAAATAGATGGCAGCAATATTCAATGGCTACTCTCGTCAAATCTCGTGAGAATAGAAGCCGCTATAAAGATTCTGTGAACAGTAGCGACAAACAGCGATTTTGCTACAAAATTAGCACAATTCAACCTTCTACAACCACAAAACTATGGCAATTTTTTGTATAAATCATCAATGTATCAATTTTGTTAATATTTCTCTGTAAATGACGCAGAGATTCTAAGCAAAAGATTAAAATAAAGTGAACCATCAAAAATAATCAAGAAAAAAACTTAGATTGGCATGAATTTACAAGGATAAACACCGCCTCTAATGCAAGTCCATACGACAGTCCAACGTATTAAAGACGGTGTTCACCGTCTAAATCTGAGGTAACTTCGACACCTTATTGTTTATTTGCTCTAACGTTTTTTTCTCACATGGATCAAGATCTCACGAGATGATTATATTTTGTGAAATCCAGAACAGGAATTCTAATATCTAACAAGTGAGTGTTACACCATATCTCGCATCCTTACCTGTTGACATTATACCCCTTTGCCCTAGATCGATACACAAGGGCTTGGCTGGAGTGTCGGGCAAGCCCTCCGATGAGTATGCACTGGTTATAATAAAGAGTCATTACTTAGATCAGTACAGACACATCCAAGGGCTTACCCGACTCTCCAGACAAGTCCCTGTGGTTTGATATAGCCTACAGGATAACATACAGTTGGGGACATAAATAAATGACAGGTGGATTTGCTGAAGTGAGGATTTCCCATGTTAAAAATAAGAGAATTTTACAAGAGGCCATACATCAGTGGATGAGATTATACAAAATGTAAAATATACAAATTTTAAGGGATATATATCTAGACAATATTGGAAATTATGTGCTTTCAGACCACCATAATTAGGAAATGGTGATCGAAAATCGACCTGTCATTTATTTTTGTCCCCAACTGTAGATCTAAACTCAAACTGAGAACACACTTGAATCAAAGATTTTAACAAAAAGAGGCAAACCTCATTATAATCTTATTGACCGTAATTTGTTGTATTGGGATTTGGATAACCTAGATAAAGTTCCTATGTTAGTCCTATGGGTCTAAGCTCTCTGCGTATAACTCAAAACACTGCAACAAACTGGAGTGGGTCCAAATTCCAACGCCATTTTCTTCAAAAAATTACTTCCGGTTTATTTTTCAGAAATAAACACCTCATTCTCGCTGTAAAATCTGGATCACCGATACACATTCAATGCTTACGATTATACTTCACTTTCTTAACATGCAAAAGAAATATCACATACCTAGAATTTATTCCGTAAACTGGAGTAAACAGGCGGAGTACCTAACCTACTTCCCTTCCTGGCCATGTGACGTGTTGCATTCTGGGTAAATGGTGTAAAGGTCACTTCAGCACAACCCAATTTCAAAACACAATCTGAATGTTGTCAATATGATGTAACAGACGATATCGGCTACAGTACACAGCTTATATACAATGAGCTATCATCCGTGAACAAATCATTTATTGAACTGGGTAGTTAGTGATTGTGAATTATAATATTCTTATATCATATTGTGTTACGAAGATTGTTGATGATTGTGTTGTCAGATTGCATTGATATTGATTGATTGAGCCATGCCTACATATACTATGATATAGACAAAGACACTGTGTAACCATTTAGCAAGATGGTTGATGATTGTGTTGTCAGATTGCATTGATATTGGTTGATTGAGCCATGCCTACACATACTAATACAGAGACAAGGACACTATGTTACCATTACCAAGATGGTTGATGATTCTGTTGAAAGATTGCATTGATATTGGTTGATTGAGCCATGCCTACACATACTAATACAGAGACCAGGACACTGTGTTACCATTACCAAGATGGTTGATGATTGTGTTGAAAGATTGCATTGATATTGGTTGATTGAGCCATGCCTACATATACTTTGACATAGACAAAGACACTGTGTAACCATTTAGCAAGATGGTTGATGATTGTGTTGTCAGATTGCATTGATATTGGTTGATTGAGCCATACCTACACATACTATGATATAGACAAAGACGCTGTGTTACCATTAGCAAGATGGTTGATGATTGTGTTGTCAGATTGCATTGATATTGGTTGATTGAGCCATACCTACACATACTATGATATAGACAAAGACGCTGTGTTACCATTAGCAGGATGGTTGATGATTGTGTTGTCAGATTGCATTGATATTGGTTGATTGAGCCATACCTACACATACAATGATATAGACAAAGACACTGTGTTACCATTTAGCAAGATGGTTGATGATTGTGTTGTCAGATTGTAATGATATTGGTTGATTGAGCCATGCCTACATATACTTTGACATAGACAAAGACACTGTGTAACCATTTAGCAAGATGGTTGATGATTGTGTTGTCAGATTGCATTGATATTGGTTGATTGAGCCATACCTACACATACTATGATATAGACAAAGACGCTGTGTTACCATTAGCAAGATGGTTGATGATTGTGTTGTAAGATTGCATTGATATTGGTTGATTGAGCCATACCTACACATACTATGATATAGACAAAGACGCTGTGTTACCATTAGCAAGATGGTTGATGATTGTGTTGTAAGATTGCATTGATATTGGTTGATTGAGCCATACCTACACATACTATGATATAGACAAAGACGCTGTGTTACCATTAGCAAGATGGTTGATGATTGTGTTGTCAGATTGCATTGATATTGGTTGATTGAGCCATACCTACACATACTATGATATAGACAAAGACGCTGTGTTACCATTAGCAAGATGGTTGATGATTGTGTTGTAAGATTGCATTGATATTGGTTGATTGAGCCATACCTACACATACTATGATATAGACAAAGACGCTGTGTTACCATTAGCAAGATGGTTGATGATTGTGTTGTAAGATTGCATTGATATTGGTTGATTGAGCCATGCCTACATATACTATAAAGACACTGTGTTACCATTTAGCAAGATGGTTGATGATTGTGTTGTCAGATTGCATTGATATTGGTTGATTGATCCATGCCTACACATACTATGACAAAGACATTGTGTTACCATGAGCAAGATAGTTGATGATTGTGTTGTAAGATGGCATTGATATTGGCTGATTGAGCCATGCCTGCACATACTATGACATAGACAAAGACACTGTGTTACCATTGACAAGATGGTTGATGATTGTGTTGTCAGATTGCATTGATATTGGTTGATTGATGCCATGCCTTAACATACTATGATATAGACATAGACACTGTGTTAACATTTAGCAAGATGGTTGATGATTGTGTTGTCAGATTGCATTGATTTTGTTTGATTGAGCCATGCCTCCACATACTATGATGTAGGCAAAGACACTGTGTTACCATTACCAAGATGGTTATGATTGTGTTGTTAGATTGCATTGATATTGGTTGATTGAGCCATACCTATATATACTATGACATAGACAAAGACACTGTGTTACCATTTAGCAAGATGGTTGATGATTGTGTTGTCAGATTGCATTGATATTGGTTGATTGAGCCATGCCTATATATACTATGACATAGACAAAGACACTGTGTTACCATTTAGCAAGATGGTTGATGATTGTGTTGTCAGATTGCATTGATATTGGTTGATTGAGCCATGCCTACACATACAATGACATAGACAAAGACATTGTGTTACCATTTAGCAAGATGGTTGATGATTGTGTTGTCAGATTGCATTGATATTGGTTGATTGAGCCATGCCTACACATACTATGACATAGACAAAGACACTGTGTTACCATTTAGCAAGATGGTTGATGATTGTGTTGTCAGATTGCATTGATATTGGTTGCTTGAGCCATGCCTACATATACTATGATATAGACAAAGACACTGTGTTACCATTAGCAAGATGGTTGATGATTGTGTTGTCAGATTGCATTGATATTGGTTGATTGAGCCATACCTACACATACTATGATATAGGCAAAGACGCTGTGTTACCATTACCAATATGTTGACGATTGTGTTGTCAGATTGCATTGATTGCATTGATATTGGTTGATTGAGCCATACCTACACATACTATGATATAGGCAAAGACACTGTGTTACCATTACCAATATGTTGATAATTGTGTTGTCAGATTGCATTGATATTGGTTGATTGAGCCATGCCTACAAATAGGCTTCTATGACATAGACAAAGACACTGTGTTACCATTTAGCAAGATGGTTGATGATTGTGTTGTCAGATTGCATTGATATTGGTTGATTGAGCCACACCTACACATACTATGATATAAGCAAAGACACTGTGTTACCATTACCAATATGTTGATGATTGTGTTGTCAGATTGCATTGATATTGGTTGATTGAGCCATGCCTACATAAAGGCTTCTATGACATAGACAAAGACACGCTGTTACCATTTAGCAAAATGGTTTAAGATTGTGTTATCAATTTGCTTTGATATTGGCTGATTGAGCCATGCCTGCAAATTCTATGACATAGAGATTGTGTTACCATGAGCAAGATGGTTGATGATTGTGTTGTAAGATTGCATTGATATTGGTTGATTGAGCCATGCCTAGATATACTATAAAGACACTGTGTTACCATTTAGCAAGATGGTTGATGATTGTGTTGTCAGATTGCATTGATATTGGTTGATTGAGCCATGCCTACATATACTATGATATAGACAAAGACACTGTGTTACCATTTAGCAAGATGGTTGATGATTGTGTTGTCAGATTGCATTGATATTGGTTGATTGAGCCATGCCTACACATACTAATACAGAGACAAGGACACTATGTTACCATTACCAAGATGGTTGATGATTGTGTTGAAAGATTGCATTGATATTGGTTGATTGAGCCATGTCTACATATACTATGACATAGACAAAGACACTGTGTTACCATTTGGTAAGATGGTTGATGTTTGTGTTGTTAGATTGCATTGATATTGGTTGATTGAGCCATGCCTACATATACTATGACATAGACAAAGACACTGTGTTACCATTTAGTAAGATGGTTGATGTTTGTGTTGTTAGATTGCATTGATATTGGTTGATTGAGCCATGCCTACATATACTATGACATAGACAAAGACACTGTGTTACCATTAGCAAGATGGTTGATGATTGTGTTGTCAGGTTGTAATGATATTGGTTGATTGAGCCATGCCTACACATACTATGACATAGACAAAGACTGTGTATTACCATTAGCAAGATGGTTGATGATTGTGTTGTCAGATTGCATTGATATTGGTTGATTGAGCCATGCCTACACATACTATGACACAGACAAAGACTGTGTATTACCATTAGTAAGATGGTTGATGATTGTGTTGTCAGATTGCATTGATATTGGTTGATTGAGCCATGCCTGCACATACTATGATGTATTCAAAGACACTGTGTTACCATTACCAAGATGGTTGATGATTGTGTTGTCAGATTGCATTGATATTGGTTGATTGAGCCATACCTACACATACTATGATATAAGCAAAGACACTGTGTTACCATTACCAATATGTTGATGATTGTGTTGTCAGATTGCATTGATATTGGTTGATTGAGCCATGCCTGCACATACTATGATATAAGCAAAGACACTGTGTTACCATTACCAATATGTTGATGATTGTGTTGTCAGATTGCATTGATATTGGTTGATTGAGCCATACCTACACATACTATGATATAAGCAAAGACACTGTGTTACCATTACCAATATGTTGAGGATTGTGTTGTCAGATTGCATTGATATTGGTTGATTGAGCCATACCTACACATACTATGATATAGACAAAGACACTGTGTTACCATTTAGCAAGATGGTTGATGATTGTGTTGTCAGATTGCATTGATATTGGTTGATTGAGCCATGCCTACATATACTATGATATAGACAAAGACACTGTGTTACCATTAGCAAGATGATTGATGATTGTGTTATCAATTTGCATTGATATTGGTTGATTGAGCCATGCCTATGCATACTATGACATAGACAAGGACACTGTGTTACCATTAGCAAGATGGTTCATGATTGAGTTTTCAATTTGATTTGATATTGGTTAATTGAGCCATGCCTACTTGTGTTACCATTACCAAGATGATTGATAATTATAACATAACATAATATTGAAATATTATATTAGTTGATTGAGCCATGCCTACGCATGCTCATGCAGGTAGCGTTCAGTTCATATACAAATACTATATCATTCATAAATCATGAGATTTCCTCTTTTGCCCTTGTTGCAAACATATATGGAGTACTTTACCTGTAACATAGAACACAAAACTAATCAGAATCAATTTTTTATTGTGCTGGTGGTTTTACTACACCCTTTCAGTATAATCATGAGCTTTTTGCAGATTATCTATAACATAGACCTAAAAATGCACAAATCAAAAGGCACATCATTGAAGATGCATTATGCCATAGGGTTCTCCCCCAGACAATCAATGATGACCTATTGGTATTGCTCATATAATGTCTCGCATATCATGGATATATCTTGAGAATTACTTTTGGGTATATTATTGCCGAAATATCGGGAATAATCAACAGAACAACCAAACTCCAGAATTAAACACAATCGATTCCTAGGCTAGAGAGGGGAATCCCCATTGAGTCACACAAGCGCCCACAAGCGCCCACAAGCGCCTTGAACCAGACAGCCAATCAGGTTTATGATAAACAAATTCAACGACCAATCATATAACAGGCATAGAGACTCTTAAACTCAAAGTTTTTAACTTTTTTAAACTGTTCGGTAAACTAGACTTGGAATCAAAGAAATAGTATGAAGTGGATGAAAAATAATCAAGTGGTGGTGAGAATGGCGGTGTAAATCATAGATTTTGGGCCGATAGAAAGATGGCAGCACCGATAAAATCCTTGATTGTCCTCTTTATTTAAGATTATTTGTATAACTATTTTAAGCTTTAGCCTTTCATTGTGAAAGTAGTACCAGAGGATGATCTTTCCCCTCAAAAACTCTGGATAGGATGACTAAATGCTTGTAACGCACAAAGCCATCGACTGCTAAGGCTATAGGATGGTTCTGCAAGGACCCATTCAAAAAGTAATGCTAATGATTAAGATTCAAGACATTCGACAGAGGGAGGGAAACATCAAACAAAGTATGTTAAAGTTATTGTAACTGTAAATTGCTTTAATTTGGCGTATTGATAAAACAAAAATTTATTGCCTGGGACCCTCTTTCAATATTTTGATTATAACAATTTTTTTACATTTTAGCTCCCCGTGTCACCCAAGAGTACTAGTAACCTGGTCATGTGACTTCCGAGCTAGCCCTCCAATCTGCCAATATCCATATTTTACTGATGCCAAATTAAATAGCAGCCAAAATTTTAAAATTTGTCCAATCTGCCAAATCAAATAGTGCTAAATTAAAACAATTTACAGTAAATCAGAAATCAATGGGATGCTAAAGGCTTTAACCTTATTAAATATTTTTGAGTATTAATTTATTAGTATGTTTTCAGGGAAACATCTCCAAGTAAATTGTCTAGTAATTTAATTAATTATTAATTATTTGTGAAAATGCTTCTCTTCTTTTATTTTTACTCCCTAAAGACACCAAAGTACTAGTGTAAGCAACATGACGTATGATATGATGTAACTGTTGTTTATTTAATACACACAGACAGACAAGTAAACAGAGCCAGAAAGGCTAGAAATACAAATACAAGTAATAAGTATCGTACAGTATAGTATAGTAAAATACAATAATGCATTTCACACAATATGGCATTCCCCATAACATAGCACTTTACACAACATGGCATTTGACATAATATAGCATTTCCCATCCAATATAGCACTTTACACAATATGACATTTGACATAATATGGCATTCCCCATAATATAGCACTTTACACAATATGGCATTTGACATAATACGGCATTCCCCATAATATAGCACTTCACACAATATGGCATTTGACATAATACGGCAGTCCCCATAATATAGCACTTTACACAATATGGCATTTGAAATAATACGGCTGTCCCCAAAATATAGCACTTTACACAATATGGCATTTGACATAATACGGCATTCCCCATAATATAGCACTTTACACAATATGGCATTTGACATAATACGGCATTCTCCATAATATGGGGCTTTACACAATACGGCATTTGACATAATATGGCATTCCCATAATATAACACTTTACACAATATGGCATTTGACATAATATGGCATTCCCCATAATATAGCGCTTTACAAAATATGGCATTTGACATAATATGGCATTCCCCATAATATAGCACTTTACACAATATGGCATTTGACATAATATGGCATTCCCCATAATATAGCGCTTTACAAAATATGGCATTTGACATAATATGGCATTCCCCATAATATAGCAATTTACACAATATGGCATTTGATATAATATGGCATTCCCCGTAATAAAGCACTTAACATAATATGGCATTTAACATAATATGGCATTCCCCATAATATAGCACTTTACACAATATGGCATTTGACATAATATGGCATTCCCAATAATATAGCACTTTACACAATATGGCATTTAACATAATACGGCATTCCCCATAATATAGCATTTTACACAATATGGCATTTGACATAATATGGCATTACTCATGATATAGCACTTTACACAATATGGCATTTGACATAATATGGCATTCCCCATAATATAGCACTTTAAGCAATATGGCATTTGACATAATACTGCATTTCCCATAATATAGCACTTTAGACAATATGGCATTTGACATAATATGGCATTCCCCATAATATAGCACTTTACACAATATGGCATTTAACATAATATGGCATTACCCATGATATAGCACTTTACACAATATGGCATTTGACACAATATGGCATTCCCCATAATATAGCACTTTACACAATATGGCATTTGACATAATATGGCATTCCCCATAATATAGCACTGTACACAATATGGCATTTAACATAATATGGCATTCCCCATCCAATATAGCACTTTACACAATATGGCATTTGACATAATATGGCATTCCCCATAATATAGCACTGTACACAATATGGCATTTAACATAATATGGCATTCCCCATAATATAGCACTTTACACAATATGGCATTTGACATAATATGGCATTCTCCATAATATAGCACTTTGCACAATATGGCATTTCACACTATGGCATTTCACATAATATGGCAATTTACAGTAATATAATTTGGCATTTAAGACTTACTATATGATGGATAATATGAGGCATGTTGATAATTAAGAGATATAAACATTTTGCCACCTGGCAAAATAATTGGACTACATAATTAATGGTTTACACATAGAACTTACAGAAATAGCTCTTTCTTGGACTACAGGTATTCAGGGACTGGCCAGATTACAGTATAAAAATATAAACACATTTCTAAGTCGGTAATATGTGATAAAATAACAGAAAATACCCAAAATGTAAGGTATTTATACTTATAGAACAGAAGAGAACTTATTGGACAGAAGTATGATGTGTACTTCAAGGTAATAAAGTAATATCATAGTAATGTCCGATCATAAGTTTGAATAGTTATTAGTTGCGTTTCAAATATCAATTGTATGACATATACGAGACCAATGTTAATGCTATCAGGGGCCCGTTTTAATTTGACAGATTGGCGGATTCAGAAAATCTGCCAAATTAAAGTTTGGAATTTTTGTACAATGCACTTCTGAAATTAAACTCCAGGGGCCCCTTTTCCTGTCAACATGTCATCAATTCTACATTATTCCAAAAGAAATACAGAAAATATCTTAGTAAACAACTGTTCCAATGACATAAACATCTAATAATCATAATCATCATTAACAAAAATTTAACTTCAGTCCTAAATCCAATCCGCCAAATTAAATAGCCACAATATTTGAAATGCGCTTATTTTTGAAGGAAAAAAGACAAAATATTACTTGAGACATGTCACTCACACAGTCAATCAAAAAACTTTAATTTGGGTCAATACTGAAGTGAAAAAAAATTACTCGCATAGAAAACAGCATTTGAAGTTCAGAGATCAAAAGAAGTGAATTACCACTTTTCACAAAGTTTACGTTTTTAAATAACTATTGGACTAAAAGATGGCGTATGGTTGAAATCCTATCAAAAATGAATGGACAATTAATACAAACAACAATGCCATCTTTCTATGGCATTGCTAAAAATTTGAAATCTATAAATTGATAGATCAAAAATATTTTTTCATGAACTAGTGTCAACTCTGATATGGTCTATTTGAGTTGTTTTTCGTGTCAAATGAAAGATCAAGTACTTATTAATCCATTGGAAATAGCCTACTACTGTACTATGAAGATCAAAAGTGAGACTTCATTTACGCACTTTGTCCCTTTAAGTAAAGTCAAAATAAGTGTATCTACAGTATTCCCTTTCTTATAAAATGAATCCTCCCTAAACAAGTAAACATACACTCTTAAGTTTTTCCAGCCAAGATCGAATTTGATATTGGTTTGACTTTGACCACCTCTACCATATCACCATCAAACCAACAAGTCACATGAGCATTATCTACGCAAAAATAATACAGCGAATCTGTACAGTTTTTACGTCTATATGACGAGCGTGGATCAGCCTGCAATATTTCACATATAGCTTGCTCCAATTGGTCACTGCTATCGAAAAAATTTAAAAAGTAATCTTGCAAGTTATTTCCAGTTGCATTCAAGCTAAATTTTTGAAGTTGAGATTTGGCACGTCCTGTGAAACAAACTCGAAGTTTGTCAATAGGTGGCGATGTTATCCACTGAGCAGATTTTATAGATTCATCAATATCATGTAAGCATATTTTTTCATTAGGTTTTTCTGACTGGTAACTGCATGAAATAGTTGAATTTGAAATAGAGGTTTGACTCTTATCTGATTGAATGCTCAATTGGCCACTGCTATCAACTGATGAAATGCTGTCACTTTTATCTGACTGAACGCTAGGCTTATTAGAAAGTGAAGAATTTGAATTTGAAATTTGACTCTTGTTTGATACAGAGTCAGACAGATCACAGTTTGAAAATGATGAATCTGAAGTAGACGTTTGACTCTGATCTGACTCAAGTCTTGACAGATGACAGTTTGAAGCTGACGAATTTAAATCTGACTCTATTGCTGACAGATGACAGCTTGAAGCTGACGAATTTAAATCTGACTCTATTTCTGACAGATGACAGTTTGAAGCTGATGAATTTAAATCTGACTCTATTGCTGACAGGTGACAGTTTGAAGCTGACGAATTTAAATCTGACTCTATTGCTGACAGATGACAGTTTGAAGCTGACGAATTTGAATCTGACTGTATTTCTGACAGATGACAGTTTGAAGCTGATGAATTTGAAGTAGACGTTTGACTCTGACCTGACTTGAGGTCTAACTGATGACTATGAGAAACAGATGCACCTGATGTGGACTTAACACTTATTTGAATTTTTTCTAATTCCAGATCTATTTGTCCACCTGAAATAATTGAAGGAATGGCTTGTGGTTCATAAACTCTTTCATTTGGAGAACATACTGTATCTTCATTGCTATTTGCCTCATGCAGGACTGGTGCATCATATTGTGGTATATACGGCTTAATATCCAACACAGGGGTGCCATCTAGCATGTCAATCCCAGATAGGTGGACCTGATTTCCCTCAATGTGAGCAACACGGCACAGTGATAATCCTATAGGGTTCGGCCTGTAGGGGCTCCGTGTTGAAAAAACTCCAACCTTTGCCCCATTCAGTCTCGGTGGTGCCACCTTTGCTTTTCTATGAGAGTTATTGTTTTTATGGAATAGAAATATCACCCACACGTGAGAGAACGCTTCGAGTCCTTGTAATGAATGTTCTGGATTATTGAATACAGACTTCTCTATCGCAATTACTGCTTTTGCGTTTGTACACACTGAGGCTTGTCGTGGGGTTCCATTCTTGAATGCAAATAGAGATCTCACATAACCTATTGGTTTATGGCTCAATGGATTGTAAGGTGTAGAAACGTGGAGATCTGTCATTTTAGTTTTTTCCTTTATACTTGATTCCTCCCAGAAAACCAGTCAAACCTGAAAATAAGAAGATACTAGTATTTGAGATATAAAGTCAGCATGTATCTGTTTTTGAGGAAAACTGAATTCAACTTCAAAACAATAATTTCACGTGACACAATTGTAAAATGATGCATCAAAAGTTTAAAGAGGGATGTGGCGATAAGAAAGCACAATCAAACCCTGATATCTGGACTTTTTTGCATGTTGAGCAGTATCACATATTCACCTTTCTTCTTACCAAAGAAGAGGCCCCAAATCCCTCGCTTTATGTGCTTATTTTGTGATTTGGCTTACAAGTCAAATTATTTCCGTCTAAATTAATTATCTGAAACTTGAATAAACTGGGGAAATCAATATATTATCTGATAGGTCGTTAAATTTGTTTATCAGTATGGTTATGTGACCAATGGCAGTTCTAGAAATTATAAAAGAAATTAAAAACCCGCTTTGAATCTGATCGGCTTCCTGGCTCAAGGCACGTGCCAGATTTGCCAATGCTTGTGTGCTCCTGTCATTCGAATGTGGTTTACCTCGATTGCCGCGATCAAACTCAATTGTGTTCAATTCTGACAGTAGGTTCTCCAAATAAACAGCATTACTAAACCATAAGTTTGTCCATGGGCTTTCAACTAGCTAATTGGAAGCCCATGGTTTGTCTCAAGATATATCTAACATGTAAGATATTACATTACATCATGGGCTTTCAACTAAAAATTGAAAGCCCATGATTATATAAGCAATTATAATGGGATATCACTGATTGTCCGGGGGACAAACCGAAGGCGTAGACTACCTAACAATTTGCCTCAACAATTTGGGTGGCCTAAAATGAGCTCCAGTTGTCATGTCTGACCAACCTCCATATTCACACTCACAAGCCTGTGACAAGGGCCTTAGGCTATGCTAAATCTATTAATAGGCCTCGAATCTTTTTTTTTTTTTTTTTTTTATAATTTTTCAAAGAATTTCAAAGAATAAGCATGTTAAAGCAATTGCAAAAAACAATTACAGTACAGTTACATGGTAAACCTACATTTAACAATTTTACAATACAGTACAGTGATTAAATATTTCGTCTTAAGAGACGTTATACCATTGGCATTTTTTTATTTTTTCGAATCTTCATAGCCTAAAAAATAACTTTTGAAAGATCTCTTCCATTTGGATTAATACAAGAATTAATCCAAAAATCGGTGAATTCGTACGATCCTGGGATTAATCTCAGGATAAATCATCTCAATCTACCTTTTGAGGTGGATTACTTTTTGGATAAATTTTATCCGACTCCAATGAAAATCGAATAAATCTTGGCGATTCCCCCTAATAATCCTCAGATCGTAAAAAATCAAAAGTTGTCACAATGAGCTAAATTCTAAGTTTCATGTGTCAAACTCTCCCAAGCAGTAGAAAAATAATTCCCGTTCACTGGACACCTGCTTAGGAGGATGCTTTATAGGAACTTAAAAATTTTAACTGATATTAAAATGTTGAGGTGATTTTGGAGCCCGATTACGCCGCAAGGAGGATTGGCTCCCAGACTGCAACATCACATGAAACTTAGAATTTGAGACAACTTTTGATGATGGTTGGTGTTTATAATGTCTCCCAGTCCCACTGTCGCATAGTCAGCACCATCTATCTATCTAATATTTACTCACTTCGAGAGCCATGTTAGATTTTGAAACTTATGGCTCTCAAACGGAGAAATGGACAGCTGAATAATAGTGACCTTGCAATTGTTAGTCGACTGAATGTTTTTACTGCCAAATTCCAATATGGTGTTTTCTGCTCGGACATTTTTGTAAATCTCCGGAGGTTTCCAAAACCTAAATCAATCTAAAAAATTCATTTTGTTCGTTGTGTATCTCGCTCCTAGCAAACCGCCATATTGGATATGGGTCGAAAAAACATTCACTCGATGAACAATTTACAAGTCTTGATCGAAAAAGAAGTATTCCAGCGCTCCAATACTTGCTGGGACTGATGTAAGACACAGTTAGAGACCAAAAGTAAGCCACGGAAATCTTTATTCATGATTTAAAGGTCACTATTATTCAGCTGCCCAAGTGCGCCGTGGGAAAGCTATTATATCAAAATCCACATAGCTTTCGCAGGAAGTAATTTAATATCTTAATGATGCTAACAGTCTAATAACTGAATAATGAAGACTGATCGTGCTCACTGTGCAATGTCGTAATCCAAGATTTATCCCAATTTATCCGGATTGGATTGGGGATCGTATGAATTCACGCCCCCTGATGACACAGGAAGTTGTATCAAGTCCTTTTTGGGCAGTGTATAGTGATTATTATAAAAACAAATGATAAAATAATTAGACCTAATAAAATGTCTATGATTTCTTGCAGCTTGTAAAAATACATCTGTTGTGAGACTGAGAGTGGGGAAGGGCAAAAAGCTCTGTTAGGCCCAAAAAGGACTTGATACAACTTCCTGTGCCTGATGATGTTGGTGATAAGAGTTAGACTATATAATTAGTAATTACTTTCATCTTCTCAAAACTTTTTCCAGATTTTCAAACCGGAAGTTGATCTACAAGCTGGACTCTGAACCAAACGAAATTATTGTACATCGTATAATGCATTATTAAATGAAATTGCACATCAAATACTTTGAAAAATCAAGGTTGAATCAAAAAGTATCCAAATAACATAAAATGTATCGCTAAGCTTAGTATTTATTTTGATGTAAAATAATTTCGTTTCGGTCAGTTCCATTTCTGAACTTCCGGTTAAAAATGAAAATGGCGAGAAGGAAATAAAACAATAAGTCTGACAATTTATTTTAAATCATAGTCTTATCACCGCAAACAGACATCTAATGTCAATGTCATTTGAAAGAATACACCCAAGTGAACTTGCTGGCAAAGAAAGTATTGCCGGTAAGCAAAGTACATTCACAAATGGAGGAGATCTTTCAATAATTTTGTGAAACTTTTAATTTTTAAATTTTTTTTTATTTTTCTAGGCCTAGGTAAGAGCACAGGGGCTTGTCCAGAGGCGTAGGGCAAGCCCTCCGATGAGTGTACTGCTTATTAAGAGTAAAAAGGGAGCTCGATTTTGATGCTACCTGAAATTTGTAGAAAATGATTGTTAGATATATCCAGTAAAAATATATGGAATCCTTTCAATAATCGACATGCTGATTCAAACAACACTGCAGAGTAAACTTACCTAAAATGGTAGCAATCCATCCACTTGTTGCTGAGAAATCTGAAGAATATGTAAAGAAGTGATTACACTGCAAGTACCGAATTTTTTTGAAGCCAAATTATTACCCCCAGAGTCAATTTCTTCCCCAAGACACGTCCACTGTTAAAAATTGGTTGTTCCTAGGCCTAGAGTTCTTTGTTTCCTTAGGTTCATTCCCGTATGTTATTTTTAACGAAGGACAGCCTATAACGACTGCTATACGCAAAAAGATGCATGAAATTAAAAGTTTCGAAACTGAAAGTTGAAAAATGGCGACTTCCCGTGAAGAGAATTTCTGGTGAGAATTTACTCAAACGAAGATGGAACACAAGAGACTTATTATGTCAGTCATCGCTAAAGCTCTGGGGCTTTCCCTCCTCTTGGCCTAGGCTAGACTCTAACTTATCTAATTTTATTTTCCTACATCTACATCAATAATCCGCAAAAGGCTAATAAGCCCATTTAAAGCAGATGGGACTTGCTCGGCTTGGGACTTGCTCAAGCTTGGACGGGAATTCATTTAGTAGTAAAATGAGGCTACACTTACCAATTTCTAAAATGAAATGTCCAACATTGTGTCTCTTCGTCCCTGCTAAAATTAAACAGTCTTAAGTTGACTAGATATTGCCCCTAAGTTTACATGTTGTCTCTCTAGTCTTAAGTTGACTATTCTTAAGTCCATTGGCTGTCGCTGAAGTCTTAAATTGACTGCAATGTTTATTTCTCTCATTATCTTTTCAGGTTCAACAGAATGAGACCTAATGTGTTATTGATACTAGTTGAAGACAAGTATTCGCGATAGAATAAGACAACATAACAATGGATGAAGACGAAATTCTTGGTGGAATATTGATTAAGGAAGAATTTGTCAAAGGAGAACTTCAAACTGAACCTGGAGTTGATGTCACTTCAGAATATACAATGGATGTGCACAATAATTCTGACATATTCGTTAAAACTGAATCTGGGGTTGATGTCACTTCAGAATATACAATGGATGTGCACAATAATTCTGACATATTCGTTAAAACTGAATCTGGGGTTGATGTCACTTCAGAATATACAATGGATGAGCACAATAATTCTGACATATTCGTTAAAACTGAACCTGGAGTTGATGTCACTTCAGAATATACAATGGATGTGCACAATAATTCTGACATATTTGTTAAAACTGAACCTGGAGCTAGTGTCACTTCAGGACCTACAATGAATGTGCACAATGATCTTGATATATTCATTCAAACTAAACCTGAAAATGATGTCAGCTTTGAACCTGAGAATGATGTCATGTTTGAACCTGATGCCAATATAAAATATTTACTGGGCCATAATAAGAGACCAAGATTGAATGTTTATGAAAACCCAAATATCAATAATGATATCAAGTTTGAACCTAGTATTGATGCCAATATAAAACATTTTCTTGGCCATATTAAGGGACCAGAATCGAACGTTTATGATAACTCGGAAACTAATAATTCTAATCAACAACGACCCACTATAGAAGAGGATTCCATCAACAATAAAAAAACATTTCAATGTCTTCAGTGTGATGAAAGTTTCTCAGTTCAATACCATTTGACTATGCATGAAAGAATACACTATACACGTCCTCTACTTGCATGTTCTGTTTGTGACAAAAAATATACGCATCAACAAAGCCTAGAAAAACATGAACAAATGCACACTTGTGATAATTATGAACCAGAAGTGAATGTTAATGCCTCAGATAATAGTGATTATAATCAACAACAAACACAGGAACAAACACCTATAGAAGAGGACTCCATCACCAGTGAAAAACCATTTAAATGCCTCCAGTGTGATGAAAGTTTCAAAGTTCACTACCATTTGATTATGCATGAAAGAATACACTATAAACCTAATAATAAAAGAACTATGAGAAAAAAAACATTAGCATGTTCAGATTGTGAAAGAAAATTTGCGCACCAATCAAGCCTGGTAAGACATGAGAAAATACATAAACCACACAAATGTTCAATATGTAACGAAAGATTTTCCGAACTTGAAAGCGTGGAATCACATAAAGCTAACCACGGGAAATATCCATTCATTTGTAGTACTAGTACATGTAATGAGTCTTTCTCTAAGCTTGATAGCTTGAAAGAACACGAAATGACACATATAAAACCGCATAAATGTTCAATATGTAACGAAAGATTTTCCCAGCTTGAAAGCATGAAAGAACATCAAATGGCTCAACACTCAGGCAAATATCCTTCCAGTAGTTCTACGTGTGATGAGTCTCTCTCTAATCTTGACAGCTCAAAAGAACATGAAATAACACATATAAAACCGCATAAATGTTCAATATGTAACGAAAGATTTTCCCAGCTTGAAAGCATGAAAGAACATCAAATGGCTCAACACTCAGGCAAATATCCTTCCAGTAGTTCTACATGTGATGAGTCTCTCTCTAATCTTGATTGGTTGAAAAATCATGAAATAACACATATAAAACGGCATAAATGTTCAATATGTAACGAAAGATTTTCCCAGCTTGAAAGCATGAAAGCACATCAAATGACTCAACATTCATTCAAATATCCATTCGGTAGTTCTACATGTTATAAGTCTTTCTATAATCTCGATAGCTTGAAAAAACATGAAATAACAAATATAAAAGTACACAAATGCCCAGTATGTAATGAAGGATTTTCTCATCTTGAAAGCATGGAATCACATAAGGCTCAGCATAGAAAATATCCTACTAAATGTAATAGGTCTTTCTCTAAGCTTGATAGCATAAAATATCATAAAATAATACATATAAAACCACAAAAATGTTCAACACAGACAAAGTACGAATGTTTAATATGTGATGAAACATTTCGCCAACTTCAAAGCTTGAAAGAACATGAAAGAGTGCATGCAAACCCCTACAAATGTTCAGTATGTAACGAAAGATTTTCCCAGCTCGAAAGCATGGAATCACATATGAGGGCTTTGCATACACAATTCACGTGCCCTACCTGTAACGTGTCTTTCCTTTATCTCGATGGCCTGAAAAAGCATTCTATAACGCATACAAAAATATACAAATGCCCCATTTGTATTGAAGAATTTGAACAGGCTAGTAGCATGGAAGCACATCAAAGGACTCACTGGTGTAAGGAAGAAACACAAACTGATAAAACAACATATAAATGTACTCTTTGTAACAGTTCTTTCTTTTCTGTCTACAGTTTGAAAGTATATGGAAAAAAGAGTTCTGGTGAGAAGCTGTCTAAATGCCCTATTTGTAACAGACTTTTCTACTGCTAGCATTGTAAGAACATGGAAAGACTAGCACTGGTGAAAAACTGTTTAAATGTCCTATTTGTCAGACTTTTCTATTGCTAGCATTGTAAGAACATGGAAAGACTAGCACTGGTGAAAAACTGTTTAAATGTCCTATTTGTAACAGACTTTTCTACTGCTAGCATTGTAAGAACATGGAAAGACTAGCACTGGTGAAAAACTGTTTAAATGTCCTATTTGTAACAGACTTTTCTACTGCTAGCATTGTAAGAACATGGAAAGATTAGCACTGGTGATAAACTGTTTAAATGTCCTATTTGTAACAGACTTTTCTATTGCTAGCATTGTAAGAACATGGAAAGACTAGCACTGGTGAAAAACTGTTTAAATGTCCTATTTGTAATAGACTTTTCTACTGCTAGCATTGTAAGAACATGGAAAGACTGGCACTGGTGAAAAACTGTTTAAATGTCCTATTTGTAACAGACTTTTCTACTGCTAGCATTGTAAGAACATGGAAAGACTAGCACTGGTGAAAAACTGTTTAAATGTCCTATTTGTAACAGACTTTTCTACTGCTAGCATTGTAAGAACATGGAAAGACTAGCACTGGTGAAAAACTGTTTAAATGTCCTATTTGTAACAGACTTTTCTACTGCTAGCATTGTAAGAACATGGAAAGACTAGCACTGGTGAAAAACTGTTTAAATGTCCTATTTGTAACTGCTAGTATTTTAAGAACATAGTTGATGACATCCAATAGTGAGAACTGTGTAATTGTCCTATTTTTAACAAACATTTCTACTTGTATTTTAAGAACATAGTGAGACATCTAGTGGTGAATAGGTGTGTAAATGGCCTATTTGTAACATACTTTTCTACTGCTAGTATTTTAAGAACATGGCAAGACTAGCACTGGTGAAAACTTTGAAAGCCCTATTTGTAACAGACTTATCTACTAGGCCTACTTGTATTTTAAGAACATGGAAGGTCATCTATTTTTGAAAAACTGTGTAAATGTTCTATTTGTAACAGACTTTTTTCTACTACTAGTATTTTATGAACATGAAGTCATCTATACTATTAGTGAAAAACTGTGTGAATGTCCTATTTGTAGCAGACTTTCCTACTGCTAGTATTTTAAGCACATAGAAAGACATATATTTGTGAAATGTCATATTTGTAACAATTTCTTCTACTGCTCGTATTTTAAGGATAAGTGAACATGTTTGTAAATACCATATATGTAACTTTCTACTGTTGGAATATAAGAACATGAAAAAACTATTTAAATGCCCCTTGGCCTATTTGTAACAGTCATTTTGTTCAAATTCAAAATATTTATAGTTGAAATGATATTGCCTATGTTTTCATGTCATTTTTGGATATAAGGAGATAGATTGTGTATTATTAACTGTTAACTGTAATTGTTCTGTTTCATATTTTATTGGATCATGTGCGTGTTGTAACAGTAACCAATGTTATATTGTTACCATCTCAGTTAGTAACAAAAATAAAATTATTCTTTACTTATTAAAATTATCCTAAACTAGTTTTGTTTTACATATGATGAAGTATTTTAAAACATCTTACAACTAACCATCGTTACAAAATCAGGGTATGCATTGAAAATAATTAATCAGTTTACTACACCGTTAAATGAATAACAACCATTTTTCAGAATCCATGTGCATATAACATGTATAAGAGGGGGAGAAACCCTGGGGTTCAAAGATGACATACGCTTATAATGTAAATCTGTATTGAGATGACATCGTCGTTGATTGGTTTAGCGAGTCGATCGTTGATTGGTTTAAAACTAGGTCAATTTAAAAACTTTGAAAACCAAGATGGAGGGTCAGTTTTCGACAAAAGGAGGTGCGCGAAGGAGGAAATCGTATGTCATCAATTGAACCATGGGCTTTTCCCTCCTTTTTGTGCATATATAACAGTGTAGACGTCATTAGTGACTGGTAAACACTGGTGATTGTAGATATTATGGTTGCAGGATCACAGGTAAGGTCCGTATGTACCTAAGCCCCGCTATTCACTAAAGATCAGGAGCAAGTCGGAGCTGAGATCGCGAGCATAGTCCTGTTTATTTGTATCACTTGGGAAAATGGACCAAAATGGTAAAAATACTCATTACTGTTCTTTGATACCCTAGCAATACTTTCAAAACAGATATATTTGACAAACAAAAACATGAAAAAATATTCTTTTTCACTGGCATGGGAGAAACGGGTGGCCATACACGTTTGCATAATTTACTGTTTATATTTTACTTTTATCGTTAAAACAAAGGTAACAAATACGATTTACATATACAATGGATATTAGATCATAATGATATTTACAGTTTGGATGAGTAGGGTACAATTACACCAATCATGGGGGTCGAAATACACCATTAAAGGTTTCAGGGGCCCCGCTGAAAACATGGGGACGCCCCGCTGAAAATATGAGGAGACCCCGCTTAAAACACGAGCAGATTTCACGAGTACTCGCTTCTTATATATGAACGTACACGAACGTGCTTATACGTATTAACAAGCACACATACCATTATATAACAAAATCGCAAGTATTTCTTCCTATCATCAATTTCAGGCAGTTTTTGTATATTCTACATACTTCAATCATAATTTAAGGAGTTTATACCTTTCTGAGGACACAGATATTTTGTTAGCTCATTTTTTCGTCCAACAGTCCGTCCGTTTGTGCCTGCGTGCGTGTGTTCGTCCAACAGTCCGTTCCTTCGTGCGTACGTGCGTTCGTCAGATCGTTCGTTCGTTCGTACGCGCGTTCATTCGGCCGTCCATTTGTTCGTTTGTGCATCCGTACGTGCGTTCGTTTGTGTATTCGTTCGTACATTTGTTCCTCCGTGCGTTCCTTCGTACATGAGTTCGTTCGTTCGTTTGCAAATGCGTTCCTTCGTCAATCTATCCGTTTGTTCATTCGCTGTTTTTCACCAGTCCGTCCGTCCGTTCTTCTTTCGTTTGTTCGAATGCAAGTTTTCGTTCTACTGGTTTGTTTGTTTTCATTAAGTAACATTAACTGGTGCGTCTCTTCACTAGTTTTTTAGCGATTTTCAACCTAATTTAATATGCCATATATATTTGAGCGTATTGGCCTTTAATTTATACTTGTATTTTCCCAATATGCGTATACAGTGTATATTGGAACAGCTTTATACTTTTTGATCGATTCAGTCATCTTGCTTCATCAAGCTTCGGACCTATCCTCAGAGCGTAGTGATTGAGCGTGGAAACCGACGATGCGATTTAGTGGCATAAACAATTATGTGATCACTGACGGTTTGATCGTTATTTACACTTTAAAATGAAGAGTTTAATTAGCTTAAATAAGTTATGAAGCAACCAAGAAGGGAAGTGAGTAAGCAAGTAAGCTAGTAAATAAGTAATCAAGCAAGTAAGAAGGCGCTATGAGGTAGTAATATTGGTAGTAATAAAGGCAATAAGAAGAGAAGAAAGTAAATAAGCAAGACGTGACTTCCGTTGATTTCGCTTGTTATTTTTAGTACATGGACAAATCAGAGAGTGAGGAATATGACAGTGAAATAATAATGCTTGTTATTTTTGACTCACACAGTGAGCCTATGGGATCGACCAGGCGTCCGTCCGTCCGTCCGTCCGTCAACATTGGCCGCACAAATTAAAACTGCTATTCGGATTGAGTCATATCCACATTCATTTTATGCATATCCATAATGCCTATTTGACCTATCATCGCCATTTCCCAAGTTCGCCCGGTTTCCGAGAAATTACTGATTTTGACGTCAAAAAGTCAAATTTTCTGTAAATATTAGACACTTTGTTGAAGTAGAACTTTCAAATAACTTGTAGTACTTGCTATATATGCAACTTATGTCCTCTGAAGATTTCAAAGCTCTTGGAATTACAATTGTATAAAGTCAATGGCAGGTTTTGTGATTGACAAGTTTCTCAAAGTTTGCCTTATACTTGATCATTTCTTGCAATGAATTACATATTGCTCAATATATGTCAGCATCAAATTTTTACCATTTTTGAGATATTTGACGTCAAAAAACAGTAAAAATAAATTATTTTTCAACTTGCTTCAATTTTACCAAGTTTTTTTGAAAATTATCTACAAGTTGCCAGGAGTTCAAATCTGACATTAGGTTTAGGATTTGACCTTTACTTGACCTTCAGTGATCTTCGAAAGGTCAAAAAAGTTGATTTTTCAAATTGATTTTTGGATGTAAATCTTGGTCAGCTTAATCACAAAAGACCTTACTGAGCTCTGAATAAGTAAAATGTTTAAGGTCAAAGGTCATCAAACTAGGTCACACAACTGTGCTATCTAAGTTCGAGACTGCAAATCCAAAGCAATATTTTTGTTTGAAAGTCAAGATATACATTCCTCTGAAGGTTCCAAACTGTGTGAGCACAGGACCGTGAGTCCTTTATTTCGTCATGTATCATGTGTATATGCCATAGACAAATCAGACAGTGGGGATGTCTGCATATAGAAAGCATGGGATATTGTATTTGAGTTATTTGCAAATTCTGAAATTTTGGCTCAAAGAGACATGATTACTAACATTGCTACATTGTTTTTTGGAAATTTTGGATTTGATTTTGTTTTAATTATGTTTTATGTGTAGGCCTATAGGCTTAGCTAGCTTGTATTTTATTTTTATATTCCAGATTAAAAAAAATCACTTCATGTTCACTTTCACCTAACTTTTCAATATACCCATTCACATTTTGAGAAATATTTCACATTTATTCACATTTCAATTTCATTCCTTCACATTTTCTTACCTCTTAAAGTAGACAACCAGATACTCCAGGTAAGTTCAATGTGAAACAACACATGCGTATGCTTTGGATGCATTGCAGTCAAGTCGAGTAACCAAGTCAACATTCGACAATAAAAATCTCAAAAATCGTACATCTAAATCCAAAATAATTTGTGAGGTGGTTATTAAGATGATAATACGCATTTTAACGTATTAATTTTGAGTACATCTCGAATCCATTCTCAACAAGACGTTCGTGAAATAATTATTCGAAATGTTTGAGTTCGGGATGATAAAACAGTCAAGTCGAGTAACTAAGTCAACATTCGATAATAAAAATCTCAAAAATCGTACATCTCTTATTTCCAATATAATAAGTGAGGTGATTACTAAGATGATAATACGCATTTTAACGTATTAATTTTGAGTACATCTCAGTCCATTCACAACAAAGCGTTCGCGAAATAAGTATTCCAAATGTTTGAGCTCGGGATGACAAAAATACGTTAAGATATACCGCTTCTTAACAAATTCCTTTTGGAACAAGATATAGAATCAAAAACATATTCTTCTTATTCACTCACTGACACATGCCAACGAATGTTACATAAATATCTCCGTTTCAAATACTTTTGCAAACGTTGTTCTCTACAGGTGCCATTTTTATAATAGAAAAACAAAATTGAACACTTTGCATTTCTAAATTGATAAGTCTCTTGGAAAACAACATAACTGTTAACGATTTAAGTCATTAATAATATTTCCTTTAGTGGTCCCATGCTTAACAGACAGTAACTGGGTCAATGTTTTATGTTCAACCTCGTTTTCATGACTTTTAAACATGAGTCGGCAATTAGTGTAGGAAATTTCAATCCCAAATGTCAGCGTCTCAACTCGTGTTTTTCACAATATTTAGCCTTTTATCATGATAGATCGCCAAAATCTGTATGTACCTCTCAAGGAGGCGATATGTTTTTAAATTTAGAGATGTAAGCTATAAACTCAAACAAAAAATTCAAACTAGCCGCTATTATTTTGATTGCACAAGACGAAATGTCCACTCCCGTGGAGCACTTTTGATAACACTTTTGAAGGAGGATTCTTGAAAAATCGTTCGAATTTTCACAAAAGGTTTCTTGCAATTTTATTGCTTTGTTTAAACCTCAACCAAAATCATACCCAAATCCGATACCATAATTATAAATTAAAATGAAACGTTAAACTCACCAGGTTATATATGATAAACCGTTTCGAGCATTGATGATTTGAGTTAAACCGATGATATCTAGCTATATTAAAAGTAATTCGGCATGTATTAGATACACATGATCAATAGATACACATGATCAACGTGTGACTTCAATTCGTGACTATCGTATTTGACTTTCAAAAATTAAGTTGGAAGTTACAGTGGTAGGAGATTACCAAAAACGTCAATCACACCCAAATATCCAAACGACGTCAAGTATTAACAATACACTTTTCGTGCAACTCGAATAAGGCAAGGTTCTGTGATCCAGCAATATGTATTCCAAAAAAGAATTCACAAATATCAACACTTTTCATTGAGTAGGAGATTACATTTGAAATCACAACTTTCAAAATATTTGTTTCAACCAAGAATTGTAAGAACTTGAAACATGATGTTAGTTTTTCAAACCGCATATCCTCATTTACGTTCTTTGACAAGGATGAATCCATTTGAAAACATGGATTTTCTTGATAACTCTTCAAAACTACCCTTGAAATATAAGTATGTAGGATATTACAGTGTAAATTGACATGCAGTTGTTTGCTCCATATTATGAAAAAATAAATGCAGTACCATCTGTCAATATTCGACAAGAGAACGTTCATTCTATATGTAAATAAGAAAAAATACATTTATGGTTGATTCATAATGAAAAAATGACAAACAGCATACATCCTTTGAAGTAGGGGTATACAGGGACATAGTGGAAATTCAGAAATTTAGGCCATATCCCCAATATTGCTTCACCAATATGTAACTGAACTTCAAAATTATCATTTACACGTTTGCTGATAGGTATATTGAAAATAATTAACCAGATGTTTACTTCAGTCGTGGCACCATTCTTAGTAAATATTGATGAACATACGAATTTCGAATGTTGACTTAGTTACTGGACTTGACTGATTGATTCACTTTGTAATAACAAATGTTTCCAACTAAGTGCTGCGAAATGATGACATGACTACGCCTGCTTTCTTCTTTTTTCACTTTAACGTCAAATTGAATTTAAATTACAAAATAGTAATTAAATTCAACATTATAAAAGATTACAATATCATACAAATCTTAGAAATGTTCTCGGAATACTATCTTGAGCTGTTGAAGTTCTCACCTTTAGCCTGAAGATACGAATGCCATAGAGACGATACTTAAAAAATGAGCATTTGCGGATCAAAACTGACACAAAAAGTTCAAAATCTCTAGATTCAGTTGTCAAAGATTGATGTATTATAGCATGGGCTTTCAACTAGAGTTGAAAGCCCATGATAATAGCTTGTTAGAAAGGTCGTCTTACATATTTTATGGATATTACAGTTTATCTCATACTTGGACGTGTTACAGGTGCTTAAAGCCGGTTTGTAAAAACTTATATTTTCATCAGCGGGCAGATATAGCTTTACGCCCCGCTCCGAGCGGGCAAATATATTACAATATCGCCGTTCAGATATTCACGGTGTTATAGCATGACGGTTACGCCACCTCTGAAAACGAGGTTGGACAGCTACGTTCACTGATTTATCCAATAAAATGGCCGCGATGGAAGAGAAAACTAATGTTGGTGCATTATTTGCTACTACTGTGTATCAATGAAAGGATGAACAATTTATGTAAGCATCGCATTCGGTGATACATTCAGTAATGTATATTTTGAACGTAGTCTTTGCAAATTGATGCCCGGGGATAACATGAAATAAAAGAAAAACTGTCGAGTTTGAAATTCAAAACTACACAAAAATTTAGTAATTTGTTTATTTTTGTTGTTAGAGCATGGTCAACATTGCCTAAAAACCTTGTGGTATATAGATGTAACCTACATACGATCATACAAAGCCAATTGAGCATTGGAAACCACCTAATATGTTCTACTCAAGCCATAATAATGTATTTTGCATTTGCGGTAACGTAAAAAATTGATGGACGGTTACGCGAACCTGATTCAATATAAAACCCCGATTCATTGTTGTTAATTTTGTCTTCTTTATCAGGACTTGATCCTAAATCTTCTTTTACCTCTTCATTGCTATCTTTTACACTTTCATCGGTTTCATAAATAAAGCAAGCGACAGTTTTTTCCTTGCCTTATAGAGGCTGAAACAAGAGCGTGACTTGCGAGTCCTGAAAACGAATATAGGAAATTCAATATTCTATTTCTTACCCATTATAACAATAACATGGATAGAGGCTATCAGATCTAGCAACCTTGACTTGACAGATGTACATGCACGTAACCGTCCGCTAAATATCTTATGCACAACTAATACAATACGTTACCGTCCATAGAATTCGATAGAAGTCATACGTAGTCGTCTAACGACATTGCGTTTGAAACCTTATTATTTACGATATACACCCCGTTCCTGTTCTGGATTTGTCATTTTATGGCTTGTTTATACACAGTTTACTTACACACTGGTGATCCACTCGATTACGCTTGTTACCGAAACAGTTCGTTTTGGTTACAAAATGTCGGAACATCGAAGGCATGATTTTTCTTTTTTTCCTTATTTCATACGTTGTAGGCAGAATTCCCACGACATTTTTTAACTGAAACGTGTATCAGTATCATATGTTTAAGAAAATGTACATATTTGCGAACAAATAGTTCAGAAGACGACAGAATCGTCGATTTAATTCCTCACTTAAGGTTACATAAACGGTTTAACGAAAAACAGTTTAGATCTGCACTTTTAACCCAAACCGTTTATGTAACTTAAGTGAGGAATTAAATCGACGATTGTGTTGTCTTCTGAGCTATTTTTCGCAAACATGTACATTTTCTAAAACATATGATACTGATATGCGTTTGTGAGAAAAAACGCCGTGGGAATTCTACCTACAACGCGTGAAATAAGGAAAATAGAAAAATCGTACCTTCGACGTTCCGACACAGACCTCTACACGTATTCCAACGGTGATATATTATTTCATGTTGACCCAGTCTTTATAGCCATCCATATATACATCACCGAATGGAACTAGTTTAAAGGAAATCTTATCTGTGAATATTGCTGCCTTTTCCATCCGCCATTTTTTGTTATCGTTGCCGCAAAATTTTGCAAATCGCCTTGACGTAACCGTCATGCTATTACACCGTGATATTGGTTAATTTTTTTTAACGTTACACGAGATGTCAAATAAATGTTTGAAAGCTTCTTTTATGTATACTATATTGGTTGACCTCGTGTTCATTGTCATTCTCTGCTCCACGCTATCAATAGCCCATTGACTGTTAAAGAAAGAAACGCAGAAAGTAAAGCAACGGAATAAAGAATATAGAAAAAAATAAATAAATTCAGAGATTTTCGAGGATAGCAATACAACGGAGGTGCAATGCTTTCCAAGTTTGGGATAGTCGTAATTGTGATTATATCTTTTCAAAGTATTATCTATATGGGGATATACATGTACTCAACGTTGCACGTTCCACTGATTAAAGCTAATAGTACTGCTGCTCATAAAAAGAGAAGCTCTGGATATATAAGGAGTGGATTCAATGATTCAGATACAAAGTTCTTGACGATTTTTACAACATTTTCAGAAAGGGAACTACCACGTTTCCGAATTCAGAATAACACACTTTGTAACTATGAGAAGTTTCCGAAGCATTTGACCGAGCGAGCTATCTTTGCAAGTGATGGCTTCCATTTACGAAGAGATGGAAAATGTTGGTTGGAAACAGTTTCAAATAAGAATGACTCGGACTGGAACATTATCAATCTGGAACCCCATATGACTGCAGCTGGTAGACCCGTCCTGAGACAAATGTTCATTGAGACACAAAAAAGATTCAACACAGACCTCTACATGTATTCCAACGGTGATATATTATTTCATGTTGAAAAACTGATCACTTCCCTTGAAGAAGTCAAAAGGTTCACGGAAGCCCACAACATCAGGAGGTTTATAGTGTTTGGGGCAAGACACGAGGCAAAGTTCTATAATTCAGCAAGTAATGGGACTGTTGAACTCATGTCTGGATTAGATGATGAAATCACCCAACGCGGCCAAGGTACCAAACTCGGTCGATTAGATGCACAGGATTACTTCATCACAAGTGAAACCAGTTTCCCATGGGATGCCGTACCCGATTACGTTATCAGCCTTCCTGCCTTTGACAACTGGTTACTTATGTTCAGTAACAAAGCAGACATTGCAACATTTGACATCACTGCCACTAACCTTGCAGTTCACCAAGCAGGGGTTCCAAAATTCGAAGACAATAATTACCAGAAGTCTATGTCAAGTAATAGGAAATTATGGAATGAATCAATTATATCATATGTTGGTAGCGGTTTAAATTGTTGCAAGTGGAAAACTGTGTATAAGGAAAGTAAAGTTATAATGGTAAAAAATCCAGCATTCAATAAAAATTGTATTGCAAAATTAAAGATCCCCGTTGAAAACCTTTTGGACGAGAAGATTTTTGAGAGTTAACAATTAGTTTTCATCACTTCACTCCCATATATAAAAGAATTGGATTCAAATGATTTATGAAGATGATTCCTTAAAATGGTATTATGTTTCTCATTTGCAAAATAACAAGATCTATATTTTAAAGTAAATTAAAATAAATTGATGGCAAGCGCTAGGGGTAATCTGAATGTAATGAACGACGATTTTATTCGTAAAGTGATTCTAGGAACTGTATACAATGATTATAAGGAGACTCTGTTACTCATAGCTATGCATGTGTTCGATCGCGAGTCAGGCATATCTTTACCTTACATCAAGTAACACAAATATGTTTTATAATCTTACTTTATTTCCTCTACATGTTAATATAAATGTAACTCTCTGTCATTTAAGAAGTAAATAAATTATACATACATACATACAGTACAAAGGAATGTTAAAGAATTGGTATCGATTGGTGAACTGAATAGACTAGATGCGAGTAGAAATAATCTACATGTAAAAGTACATTTAAAATATATTTTCTTGTATTGGATAGATAACATTTTTCACTGGACATATTGTAATTTGCATAACTACTAGATACATAAGGTTGATATGAAAATTGAAACATTTAACAGATGTAATTAAAGTGTACTATACCCGCCACGCTATCTGGCCCGAACGAGCCACCTGGTGGTGAAACGCAACCCCTCCCCCCTGACTGATGATCGAACAAAAAATTGGCGATCGCACCCCCCCCCCCCCGAATGAAAGCATGCATATTTCTGTTGAACCAGTCATCGAAACATTCTGAAATTTTTACACCTCGTCAATTTAATGCTCATCTTTTGAATGGTAACAATTTATTTTGAAATATATATATACGAGGGGTGATGGACGCTTTTTCACACAGGTGCTATTTATAGGCCAATCCCTTCGATTTTCTTACCAGTGAAACATCATTCAATTATCAATTATCTATCAACTCTGAAGATTTGAAAACAAAACATGTAATATATTTTGATCTATCTTTATTTCCGTGAAAGATGTGTAGGTACCCCGGGACCGACATGACGTCAAACACTCTGAAGCTATTTAAAGGGTGACGCATATCGTTTAGCAAATCGAACGCTCGTTTCTGGTGTTGCTCACCGTTTAGTATAAAAGGCCCGATCCCGGAATAATACTCAAGGGTTCACAGGTTCTAGGTCGTTGTGTCAACACCTCTAACTGTTATATAGCATAAGTATATTATAGATCGTCACACATTTATAAAAGGGTGATTTTTATTTTGACAAAACAATTCCACATTTATGGGTGAAGTTTCAGGATCTTCTATTTGTGTACAATAAGGAAAAATTGGCATCTAAATTTCCCCATAACGTAATAGCACACAGCTTGGCATATGAAATATCCTACAAATGAAACAAAGCAAGACAAACCGGTTTCTAATACAAGGATTTATATTGGCTGTTGTACATGTATTCTTTGAACGCAATCACTCTTTGGATAACGTTTTCAAAATCATTATAAACGGATTACTTTATCTCAAAGACAATTTCAATAAACTGGATTTTACAGAACTCCCCTTATTTTTTAAAAATGGACTGATCCAGTTGATTCGCCTGGAGCCGCCATATTGTTTTTATACGGGATGCTAATCGGAACCCTTTAAGCTTGTTTAACATGCAAATCAGTTTAATGCATGCTGTACAAAACAAACCACTTTGGTCATGAATTACCCCATTTTGTTATGCCATATTCGATTTTGAATATTTTATCATCACTATGTGGTATTCATGCCACATTCATTCCACAGGGCCCTCTACATAGGTTTTATGTAAGTGCTACATGTGCACAATTCCTCATCCTCTTAAATCAAGATTGTGAGACAAGGCTGAATCCATTCTCTGACATGGTAGCAAGATGCAGTTGCGAGAGTTGTTTTATTTCACCAATGTCAATAAACCTGCTTTCTCTATAGAAATAAGTAGTATAGAAATAAATAAGTCACATGTGAGCAGATCTGAACAATATGGTGCATTGGCAAAGGGCTCAATTTTGAGGTCCAGGGATATTGTTTTCTGAACATTTTGAGATCTGTGGGCAGGTGCATTGTTCATATGGAGTAGGGTGTTCCCTTCCCTCACCAACCCTATCTTCCACAATGCTTAATCAAATTGACCTGCAAACCCCTTCCATACAACACTCTGACATCACAATACTTTCCGTTTATGTGTTACAAGTCAGCAAAAAAAATTAAACAACACAAAACTTGTTGCATATAAAAAGTTCAAATCTAACTGAAATTTGCCAAGCTGGCTAAAAACTGAATATGTGACGTAAATGTCGGTCCCGGGGTACATGTACCTCCTTCACGGAAATAAGAATATATAAACATGTATTATATATATATAGGAAAATCAAAGGGATTGGTCCATAAAAAGTATCTGTGTAAAAAAGCGTCCATTACTTATTGATCACCCCTCGTATACTTTTCTCTATACCGTTTTAGAATAGAAAACACACCAGAAGACTCTTCTTTTGTTCTTGGTATCATATGTTCTGAATGAAATGAAATGTTTATCAGAAAAAGTGAGAAATTAAACCGACAATTCTGTTGTCTTCTGAACCATCCATTTGTTCGCAAATATGTACATTTTCTTAAACATATGATGCTGATATACGTTTGTGATAAAAATGTCATGTGAATTCTGCCTACAACGTGTGAAATAAGTAAAAAAGAAAAATCGTACCTTCAACGTTCCGACATTTTGTTACCGGGTATTTATAGCGCTAGGATATAGTATCAAATAGAACGTGTTGAATGTTAGATTGACCATTAGTAACTTAATCGTTTGTAGTATAGGTTGCTATGGTATTACATCAAACAACATACCTATTGCGTTGTGTCCACTTCAAAGATATGACAGCAAACCTGACCTAAAATCTGTTTCCAAATGTACGAGTATATAACCCATCAAAACACTACGGCAGACGCAAGCCAACGTGCGGCCACCGTGGGACTGTTCTATGGTCTGGCAACGGCCTGTTGATTTCTACGAGGACCACAGAAATGAACAAATATTATAACTCCGAGTTATAATTTATACGCCCTCCCTGCGGCCTGTGAAAAACTGAGAAAGAGTCGAAGGCAAATATATAAAGCCGGCTTTCAAAGCCGGCTTTTAAAGCCGGCTTCTACAGTACATCAGAAGCCGGCTTCTGGCGTCACCAAGAAGCCGGCTTTTAAAAACCGGCTTCGAATGACTTACAGAAGCCGGCTTCTGCAGTTACCAAGAAGCCAGTTTTAAAAGCCAGATTCTCTCTCTCAATCATTTTGTTGTGCATTATGCATTTTATTCTCGTATAATTAGCATGGAAATGAGAAAAAAATGAAAATAAGTAAAATTGTAACATATTGCAAGATTTTTTTGCAAAAAGTAATTTCAAACCAAAACTATAGGGGAAATTTAATTCTAAGTAAAAATATCGATGAATTAAATCATGTTCGTTAAATAAGAGTAGATTATGCATTGCATTTCTGTTTGATAAAAACGCATCGCTCATTTTTCAAAACTGGCTCCAACTTGGAGCCAGTTTACAAATCAGCTCGCTCCATCTTACACAAGCTATGTAGGGACAATCTAGCAACTGGGAATCACGAAATACTATCTCACGATTATTTTTATGTGCATTATGCATGTTATTCTCGTATAATTTGCATGAAAATGAGAAAAAACTGAAAAATACATAAAATTGTAATATATTTAAAGATTTTTTGCAAAAAGTCATTTCAAGCCAAAACTATGAGAGAAAATTCATTTCTAAGTAAAAATATCGATGAATTAGATCACTTTCACTAAATCAGATCATTTTATGCATTGCATTTCCGTTTAATAAAAACGCACCGCTCATTTTTCAAAACTGGCTCCAACTTGGAGCCAGTTTACAAATCAGCTCGCTCCATCTTAAACAAGCTATGTAGGGACAATCTAGCAACTGGGAATCACGAAATACTATCTCACGATTATTTTTATGTGCATTATGCATGTTATGAATGAAATGAATTTTCTCTCATAGTTTTGGCTTGAAATGACTTTTTGCAAAATATCTTGAAATAAGTTACAATTTTAGGTATTTTTCAGTTTTTTCTCATTTTCATGCAAATTATACGAGAATAAGATGCATAATGCACAAAGAAATGATCGTGAGACAGTATTCCGTGATTCCCAGTTGCTAGATTGTCCCTACATAGCTTGTGTAAGATGGAGCGAGCTGATTTGTAAACTGGCTCCAAGTTGGAGCCAGTTTTGAAAAATGAGCAGTGCGTTATTAAACGGAAATGCAATGCATAATCTGATCTGATTTAGTGAACGAGATCTAATTCATCGATATTTTTACTTAGAAATAAATTTTCTCTCATAGTTTTGGCTCGAAATGACTTTTTGCAAAAAATCTTGAAATAAGTTATAATTTTACGTATGTTTCAGTTTTTTCTCATTTTCATGCAAATTATACGAGAATAAGATGCATAATGCACATAGAAATGATCATGAGACAGTATCACGTGATTCCCAGTTGCTAGATTGTCCCTACATAGCTTGTGTAAGATGGAGCGAGCTGATTTGTAAACTGGCTCCAAGTTGGAGCCAGTTTTGAAAAATGAGCGGTGCGTTTTTATTAAACGGAAATGCAATGCATAATCTGTTCTGATTTAGTGAACGTGATCTAATTCATCGATATTTTTACTTAGAAATGAATTTTCTCTCATAGTTTTGGCTCGAAATGACTTTTTCCAAAAAATCTTGAAATAAGTTACAATTTTACGTATTTTTCAGTTTTTTCTCATTTTCATGCAAATTATACGAGAATAAGATGCATAATGCACATAGAAATGTTCGTGAGACAGTATTCCGTGATTCCCAGTTGCTAGATTGTCCCTACATGGCTTATGTAAGATGGAGCGAGCTGATTTGTAAACTGGCTCCAAGTTGGAGCCAGTTTTGAAAAATGAGCGGTGCGTTTTTATTAAACGGAAATGCAATGCATAATCTGTTCTGATTTAGTGAACGTGATCTAATTCATTGATATTTTTACTTAGAAATGAATTTTCTCTCATAGTTTTGGCTTGAAATGACTTTTTGCAAAAAATCTTTAAATATATTACAATTTTACATATTTTTCAGTTTTTCCTTATTTTCATGCAGATTATACGAGAATAAGATGCATAATCAACATCAAAATGATCGGGAGACAGTATCTCGTGATTCCCAGTGGCTAGATTGTCCGTTAATAGCTTGTGTTTAATGGTGCGAGCTGATTTGAAAACTGGCTCCAAATTGGAGCCAGTTTTGAAAAATGAGCGGTGCGTTTTTATTAAACAGAAATACAATGCATAATATTTTTGGAATTGATGAACGTGATCAAATTCATCGATATCCATGCTTAGAATTCAATTTACCCGTATAGTTTTGCAAAAATATGACAATATAAACTATATTCAAAAGCCATGTTTGCAGTACGTCAGTAAGTAAGAAGCCAGTTTTAAAAGCCGGCTTCTTTGTGACTCCAGAAGCCGGCTTTTGTTGTCCTTCAGAAGCCGGTTTTTAAAAGCCGGCTTCTTGTTGACTGTAGAAGCCGGCTTCTGTAGTACGTAAGAAGCCAGTTTGTAAAAGCCGGCTTCTTGGTGACTCCAGAAGCCGGCTTCTGTTGTCCTTCAGAAGCCAGTTTGTAAAAGCGGTTTTTGCCTTCGAGTACTTCTGGAAAAACTAGATACGCCGCACGGAGACTGCAAGGCGGGAGTAGTTTTCCTATGCTCGCCGCAGAAATTAATTGATCTGCGGTCGACTTACGGCCGCCGTACGACAAATGTGACTGGGGTGTTATGTATCTGTTAATGTCACACTTTGCACTATAGCCACATCTGATATTTTGATTTTTGTTGCGTCTCATGACATGTAATGCCAAATGGCCCATTCCATCATACATTGCTATATGACCTATATTGTGAGCTGCTGTGATGTTAAAGTGAGTACAAATCAACATTTGTATAGCAACAAACAACGATCAACAATACCAAACTTTTTGAAAAAACATGTATGATTTCCGCAGTCTTCAAAATAATTAAAATAACAAGTTAGTAGCCACGACAGAACAAGTTCCAAGTCTGTTATTAACTCTCATTTCTTCATTTTTAAGAGTATAGTCACCACATTCGTTTTGCATACATATTCCCGGGAGAAATCCTAACAGAGAATTTATTTGGTTTTATTTATAATTTATTTGTTAAAAATAGGGAAACATTTGATTCTGATTGGTCAATAATCCAAATTTGCCATTTTAATTAATAAAAATCACCACCTTTTGTATAATAATTCCATAATGAGCATATGCTTTCTTATTCAGCACAAGTGTTACTTTTTCTAGATAACTGAAAAATTTTCGAGAAAAATGGTATGCAGGAACATAATATTTTAAATACAATATGGCCAAAAAATGACCCCTGAAGATCCCTGCATTATTTCAGATTTTGATGTGTTTCAATGGCCTCAAAAATTTATGGGGTAGGGAGTGGTATACCTTTTTGGCTTATTCCAGTTACGATTTAAATCTGGTATCTATCATCTTCAAGGTTGTAACGTGTGGTTCAATTTGGTATCCAATACTATCCATATTATGATGTCAGATGCTATATTGTGACGTCACGCTGGTACCAAAAATGACTAAAAATGGAAGAATAAGCACCAAAATGAGACAAAAAATGGTTTGACTCCACCATTGTTTTGCCAATTTACTACTTGCCACAATCAATGAATGCATTTCTCAATGCAGTGCACTTCCAATGCATGATCTGATGACTGGCAAAAAATGATTAGGATGATTAGAGACACAATATTGTATATGTTATTTATACACTGAAATTTAATGTTAGGATTTCTCCGGGGAATATGTATGCAAAATTTTGTGACGTAACTCTTAAAAATAAAAAAATGAGAGTAAATATACAGACTTGAGACTTGTTCTGTCCAGGCTACTATTATGATAAAATCGTAAAAATCATAAAAATATGATTTCAAAATATTTGTTTCAACCAAGAATTGTAAGAAGTTTAAACATGTTAGTTTTTCAAACCGCATATCCTCATTTACGTTCTTTGACAAGGATGAATCCATTTGAAAACATGGATTTTCTTGATTATTCTTCAAAACTACCCTTGAAATATAAGTATGCAAAATATTACAGTGTAAATTGGCACGTATTTGTTTGCTCAATATCATGAAAAAATAAATGCAGTACCATCTGTCAATATTCGAAAACAGAAATTTCATTCTATATAGATGCAGGCTTAAACAAGAAAAATACATTCATAGTTGGTTCATAATGAAAAATGACAAATAACATACATCCTTTGAAGTAGGGGTATACAGGGACAGTATACAATTCAGAAATTTAGACCATATCCCAAAGATTGCTTCACCAATATGTAACTGAATATCAAAATTACCTTTTATTTGTCGATGTTGTTTATGTTGACTTAGTTACTAGACTTGACTGATTGATTCACTTTCTATTAACAAATGTTTCGAACTAAGTGCTGCAAAATGATGACATTGACTACGCCTGCTTTCTTCTTTTTCACTATAACGCCAAATTGAATTTAAATTACAAAATAGTAATTCATCATTTTAAAAGATTACAATATCATACAAATCTTGAAAATGTTCTTGGAATACTATCTTGAGCTGTTGAAGTTCTCACCTTTAGCCTGAAGCTACGATTGCCATAGAGACGATACTTAAAAATAAGCACTTGCGGATCAAAATTGACACAAAAATTTTAAAATCTCCAGATTCAGTTGTCACCGATTGATGTATTATAGCTTGTAAAAAAGGTCTTCTTACATATCTTATGTATATTAAAGTTTATCCTATACTTGGACGTGTTACGGGTACATGAAGCCGGTTTGTAAAAATTTATATTTTCATCAGCGGGCAGATATAGCTCTACTTCCCGCTCCGAGCGTGCAGTTATCGTCATAATCGCCGTTCGCATATTGGTTAATTTTTTTGTAACGTTACACGAGATGTCAAATAAATGTTTGCAAGCTCCTTTTATATATATATTATTTTGATTGACCTCGTGTTCATTGTCATTCCCTGCTCCACACTATCAATAGCCCATTGTTCACGACTGTGAAAGAAACGCCGAAAGTAAATGTAAGCAACAGAATAAAGAATATAGAAAAAAATAAATCAATTCTGAGATTTTCGAGGATAGCAATACCAACACAACGGAATACCAATACAACGGAGGTGCGATGCTTTCCAAGTTTGGGATAGTCGTACTTGTGATTATATCTTTTCAAAGTATTATCTATATGGGGATATACATGTACTCAACGTTGCACGTTCCACTGATTAAAGCTGATAGTACTGCTGCTCGTAATAAAAAGAGAAGCTCTGGATATATAAGGAGTGGATTCAATGATTCAGATACAAAGTTCTTGACGATTTTTACAACATTTTCAGAAAGGGAATTACCACGTTTCCGAATTCAGAATAACACACTTTGTAACTATGAGAAGTTTCCAAAGCATTTGACCGAGCGAGCTATATTTTCAAGCGATGGCTTCCATTTACGAAGAGATGGAAAATGTTGGTTGGAAACAGTTTCAAATAATAATGACTCGGACTGGAACATTATCAATCTGGAACCCCATATGACTGCAGCTGGTAGACCCGTCCTGAGAGAAATGTTCATTGAGACTCAAAAAAGATTCAACACAGATCTCTACATGTACTCCAACGGTGATATATTATTTCATGTTGAAAAACTGATCACTTCCCTTGAAGAAGTCAAAAGGTTCACGAAAGCTCACAACATCAGGAGGTTTATAGTGTTTGGGGCAAGACACGAGGCAAATTTCTATTCAAGTCATGGGACTGTTGAAATAATATCCGGACTGGATGAAGAAATTATTCAACGTGGCCAAAGTACCAAACTCGGTCAATCAAATGCACAGGATTATTTCATCACAAGTAAAACCAGTTTCCCATGGGATGCTGTACCTGATTACGTTATCAGCCTTCCTGCCTTTGACAACTGGTTACTTATGTTCAGTAACAAAGCAGACATTGCAACATTTGACATCACTGCCACTAACCTTGCAGTTCACCAAGCAGGAGCTCCAAAATTCATAGACAGTAATTACCAGAAGTCTATGTCAAGTAATAGGAAATTATGGGATTCATCAATTATATCATATGTTGGTAGCTATTTAAATTGTTGCAAGTGGAAAACTGTGTATAAGGAAGGTAAAGTTATAATGGTAAAAAATCCAGCATTCAATAACAAATGTATTGCAAAATTAAAGATCCCCGTTGAAAACCTTTTGGACGAGAAGATTTTTGAGGGTTAACAATTAGTTTTCATCACTTCACTCTCAAAAATAAAAAATTGGATTCAAATGATTTATGAAGATAATTCCTTTACATGAAGGAATGTTAAAGAATTGGTATCTGAATTGGCGAACTGAATAGACTGTAGATGCGAGTAAAAATAATCTTGATTTATGTCAAATATTCAAAATTCAGTGATGTCATATTTGAAATGTACATGTAAAAGTACATTTACATGGTTCCGTAAGCCCTTGTCTGTGATATTGGCTAAGAAGGAAAAGTTAGCTTACTATTGATACTACTTTAAATTTTTCTTCATTTCGCTTGTGTTTGGAAGGAGAACTTCTGCTCCATGCAATATTGAAGGAAGGAACATGTTATTATACATGGTGTTACCAAATTGAATTCGTTGGATATCACAATGTTTGTTGAAGTTATGTAACCTTTGAGCTTTTTTTTATTTTAAACCAAGACTATTATGAATATGGTTCGAGTGGTTTAGTGTTTTGTCAAAATAAACACCAAGGTACTTCTATATATGTTTTTACTTCATTGAGGGAAAGCTCACCAAGCTTCAAAATTTTACATTTGTTAACTTTTCCTCCTATGATCATAACTTGAGACTTATTTGAGCTGAAACTAAACCCTCATTTTCACCAAATTCATTTGTAATTTCAAGGACTATACAGAGCATAGATTCGCTGGTAGCTGTGAGAAAGATGTCATTTGCGAAAAGCAATGCGGGTAGAGTCTTTGAAAGGTATACCCATATCATTTTCGATCAGACTGTCAATCAAATCTGTCACAATTACAGTAAATAGAGTAGGTGAGAGTACACATCCCTGTTTTAGGCCAGATTCAACTTCGAAACATTCACTGCCAAAATTACCAAATATGACTGTTTTTGTCCCATGTCAGTTATTTACTCTCGTTTCTTCACTTTTAAGAACATAGTCACTACATTTTGCATACATATTCCCTGGAGAAATCCTAACACAGAATTTATTTGGTTTTATTTTTAATCTATTTGTTAAAAATAGGGAAACAATTGATTCTGATTGGTCTATAATCAAAATTTGCCATTTTGTGCGACAAATGCATCATATTGACATAATTAATAATAAAAATCACTGAGCAAACTTTCTCTTATTCAGCACGAGTGTAATTTTTTCTAGATAATTGAGACATTTTCGAGAAAAATTGTATACAGAAACATAATATTTTTAATAAAATGGGGCCAAAAATGAATCCTGAAGATGCCTGCAATCAAATGTTTCCCTAAATTCAACAAATAAAGGATAATTAAAACGAAATAAATTCTATGTTTGTATTGAATGTGTATGCAAAATGTTGTGACGTAACTCTTAAAAGTGAAAAAATGACAGTAAATATACAGACACGGGACTTGATCTGTCCAGGCTACTATTATGATATTTTATAGGTTATAATTTAACTGACCTGCCTCCCCTTAATACAGGTTACCATGGCAACCTTACGATGTAGCTATAATATTTTACTATTGTATGTGTAATTACATAATCTATGTTCTGAAAAATAGGTGGATATGTGGAAAAAATCACAATATGAGATCATTTCTATCAGAATATATGCACGGTGTATAACCCAAACGCTCCTACATGCACGACGGAGCGTTACATTTACGCGGAAACGCTCCGGAGCGAAATAAAATGGCGGCTAATGAAGATTCTACTATGACCGTAAGTATTGTTTCTCTCGTTTCTCTTACATATCATATGTCATGGTGAAATATTATGTACCATTCGATGAACAATACCGTGAGCAAAGATCTTATTTATTCAACTTCTGGTGGTAAACTGTTATTTGCTTGATCAAAGCTCCGTAGTGTAGATCGAACGAATCTGAAGATGACGATTTGACCACAAATTACGAATTAAACTAGTATTTCTATGAAAACGTTAATCTTTCTGTTTAAGTAGTAGATCACAAACTCGTATATTCTCATTTCCTAAAATCCCAGTCCAAATCCATTACTTGTTCTCGAGAAATCGCTTGTTTTCCTCGAAACGCTCTGTCGATTTAGACCACAATTTTAGAAACGCTCTTACCATTTTGTTTTGATATCATTTTCAGATTATTAGAGAAGAGTTCCGAATCGAATCTATCTCTCAAAAACGTGTTGTACTTGTTAGGCAAATTGAAACATCTGAACCTGGTGGTGCTAAACGTGCAACTAGCTGATTAAAGCCTATACATTAGATGATGTCATGCCTACATATGTGCTAAATCATAAAACTATAGAAAAAAACGAAACGTTATATGTGAATTAATCTTTCTTCTATTGATGCCAAGGGGTATAATAGATCTTTTCTTTCTCTTCCTGAAAAGGAAAGGCAAGCTATATATTTCCTTAACTGATCTAGACTACCGGAGCGTTTCCAATTCACTGTGTTAACCAGATCGGAGCGTTTCTTGAATATGAGAATGTCATCATTTTTAAGACTGGATTTTCGGTCATCAAATCACTATTACAATAATGTATGGTGCGTTGAAGCATTGGAATTTGACTAAAATATACGTTGGTGCTCTAATCTTGGCTCAACTAATCACATGTATCGACAAAAGGGGTTTTGACCGGTAGAATGACAAATACGTTTTTGAATTTTGATAACTATACTGCTTCGTACAGCTCTTCCTAATTGCTTCAAGCGTCAACAGCCAGCCACGTACAACATGAATATCAAACCCATCGAATGGTATACTCGAAATATGTAACTCATACCTCGTATTCCCATTATTGGCATTGATTGGGGAAATTGTCAGACGGCTCATCACTCCCGCCAGACAGTTTTCCTACTCCGGAGCGTTTCTTTGTTTAATTTCAGTAATGAAACGCTCCGTCGTGCATGTAGGAGCGTTTGGGTTATACACCGTGATATGGATCATACAGGGTGTCCCGAAAGTATGGGGGCCCCCGTTGGCAGACATATACCAGTGTCTTCATAGTATGGGTCATATATCATTTTAAAGCTTACCCAAAGTTACATTGATTTGCAAAGTATCATGGTTCAACTCTCAAACCAGAAAAATTTAAAGTTAGAGTTAACATTTAATGTTTGGTCAAAATTAAGTTCAATTTTACACTAAATCACTAGCCAATGTGTCCTCCCGGGACATCTTAACAGCAGCTGTACAAAAGAACGGTGAGGGTAGATACGCAAAGTAAAGGAAACTCTTCTAAAGTGCCTTTAAAGGTTTTAAGAGGATTACATAATTCCAGAGTCATGTCTGAAAAGAATTGCTGCTGTTAACATGGCCAAGGGAGGACACATTGACTAATAATGTGGTGTAAAACTTTATTTTGGCCAAACACTGGCAGCAGGCAGCAGTACCATACTTGTATATTCTTCAATAATGTCATGAATAAATTAATAAATAAAAAAACTAAATAATGGCATTTAAATTAGCGTAGCGCCTGTAGAAAATCTGAAAGTTGTTTTGTGTGTTTATCTAAAATATGATAGTTGTTCAAAAATTGGGGATTCCGTTATGATTTTGCTATCTGTTGTGCCTGTAAAAACAGCTACTGCTACCACCAACCAAAATATTTGTAGTTTAGTACAATGAGACTCATTAAAACGTATCTACGTTCTGTAATGACACAGGATATATTTGACTCATTAGCCATATCCCTGTTACACAGAGACGATTTTTCAAAAGGTCGTATAAAAGTAGCATAGAGTAGCCTTATTCACAATAGCTAGCAATTTCGCCAATGGTTTTAATGTTGCACTTTGATAAAAGGATCCGTACCCATTGGTGTACCTATAATGATTTAGAATTTTTTTGAAAAGGGTAAATTGGAATTCTAGGATATCTTTTGTATTATATGAATCTTTAAGAAGTATACTTTCAACAAATCACAAAAATAATATTTAGAACATGGTAAAAAGTTGTTTTTACAGTGATTCTTAACACATGTCATTCTCACTCTTAAAATGAGTAATTTTCACATATTTTCACAAAAACATGAATAAAATCTTGATTTTTGTAGATACACTTAAATTGACTTATCAGTATAAAACTACATTGTGTCTGAGCATAATAACCTTCAATAAGCAGATCAACTGTGCATAGATAATTTGTTATCCTATTGTTTCGAAAGGCACCCTATTGTGTTCTTGTTTTTAAGAATGAATGACCTTCTGCAGTCACTGACATATTGAGGTGATTCCGCAGGTCAGACCCCCTCTGATTTCACCTTTATTGTTTAGTATTGACATTATTGCAGAGTTCAAACATAAAATGAGAGAGGGTCCTTGCTGCGGAAGATATACAATGTGAAAGTATAGCAAATAAATTTGTTTCAAAAAGGAGGCCATATTGGATCTGCCAGACACTAAGGCAACAAACTATCAGACAAGTGTCAAACGGGTCAATTTATTTTTGATTTATCAGTCATGCATGCGTCTGCAGAGGATATGTTGCAGATGGTCTGAAATGATATCCATTTAGTCATTAAAGGGACACTGTTTGTAAGGTAGTTCTCATGCTTATGGACACTAACATGTTTTAAGGGTCAATCTTCTTTTGATTCATCAGTCATGCCTATCTCTGGAGATGATATGTTGAAGAGACACTGGATTAATATCCATTAAGCCATTAAAGGGACACTCCTTGTAAGGTAGCTCTTACACAAAGAAACAAATAGGCCAATCTATATTTGATCGATCATTCATGTTTTCAATATGTTGCCCTTTGTGTATTACCTTTGATAATGATGTTTAATATGTCCTCTAGATTGAATATCCTAGGTTAAACCTACTGCATACCAACTGAGGTGATAATGGTACTTTTGCTGAGATTCAAGATTAAGATTTATAGGATATCCTATGATTTTGAGGAATATCATTTTTATCTTCGAGGTGATATTGATATCTGCACGAGAGAGCGAAGCGAACGAGTGCATATATCAATATCACTGCACCGAGTAGATTAAAATGATATTCTGAAAAAAATCATAGGATGTTCTTATTATCCTACACTAAAAGGAGTGTACTAAATGTATAATATTGCAAAATGAATTCCATGCCAAATAGAGTCAATTTGGCGGGAAATCAACAAGCGGAGTATATTGTCACAATATCCTCCGCATATTGGGTTTACCGGAGTATATCGTCACGATATCCTCCGCCCGGAGTATATCGTTACGATA